GTTTGTTAGAATTGTACATAGAACTTGTACTTTTTTCATGAATAAAGTTCCCAATTATATTTGTGGCATGTCAGGAATGACCTTCACACACGTGAAATTGACATTTTGCACCTAGAAATTCAACATAAAAATAAAAAATTTTGCTTTCAAATGCATCCGGAGGATTAAATGCAGTGATAATAAATATGACTAAGCATTGGACGTGCTGGAATTTGGATTTTGCTAAATATTGCACGAGGTTGAATGACCATGGAGTTTTGTAGCTCAGTGGTTAGCGCACTCGCCTCACAAATGAGAGGACCTGGGTTTGATTCCCGGGTGGGCGGGGTGAAAACTTAGACAAGTTTCCTTACTCCACAGGCCTCTCCTTACCTAGCAGGAACCCAGTTGTTGGTCGATTGGCGAATCGCTTTCTGGGCGCAATAATGATTCCAAAATAAAATTTGATCACTCAATCCACGACTATTTATGGAACTCTCCTGTGGGCAATTGGCTGCTGCGTTTCACCCATAAAATATAGTCAATCCACTTTGCAATATATTCTGTGAAGTGCTTTGAGACGTCTCCATGATGTGATGAGGCACTATATCAAAGGCAAGGAATACCTGGGGCGAGCGAGAGTGCTTCAGAACCAATGTCACTAAAATGAGATTATAGCACAAATGCTCCGAAGCAATGAAACACTGAAAGATTTACATTCACTGTCATACAATCACTGCTCATTCATCGAGTAATAATCAGCAGTGAATCAGTGTGGGAATCTATGTTGAGCATATAGAATACAGTCAGTTTAAACATTAAATTTCAGTGCAAAGTAGAAGGAAACTCGTTCTGCGCAGTAACAATTCTATTTCCTTCCAATTTATTTCAATCACAAGATGAAAAGTACCAGCCTGAATTCCTGGATTATTTAATTATACAAGCAGCACGATACTTTGAGGCATAATAAGTTAACAGAGAAGTTTGTTTTCTTACCAAACAAAGAACTACTCCATTGGCTGTTTATTTGTTTTAGTCACAGATACATTTCTATAGTTTTGACTGTTTCCCCAATCCAGTAACTCGATTCTAGTGGTTTGTTGAAAGGAAAAATAAACATCTGGGGTTCCATAAGTACAGCTCTTGAGCTCCTAGAGATTCCTGGAGACTTTCAGCAAATGGTCATTGAAAATTTGTCATTAATGATTAAAATATACTTTTATCGCTCTGTCTGTCCAGTATCTGCGAGAGACCTGGGTTGAATTCCAGGCAGGGCGAAACCTTGGGCAAGTTTCCTTACTCCACAAGCCCAATAATAATCCCTCCAAAACCAAAAACAATAATAAATCGGTCATTTTCAATCTACGACTGTTTGTGGGACATTGCTGTGCGCAATTGGCTGCCGCGTTCGCCCACAAATATACAGTCAATTCACTTTACAGTATATTCTGTGAAGTGCTTTGGGACGTCCTCCCGACGTCAAAAGCGCTATATCAAATGCAAGGATTATTATTATTATTATTACCTTGGGATGTCCTCCCGCTTTACAAATTACATTTGTAAAGCGGGAGGACATCCCAAGGTACTGGAGAGACAGAGTTTCGGATCCGAGCTGGGGGTCAGGGTCGGGGAGGGTGGAGGGCAGAGGGGGAAGCAGGGAGATCGAAAGCACGGTCGAAGAGGAGGGTCTCGAGATGAATCTTGAAAGTGGCAAGGGAGGGGTCGAGGCAGAGGAATGGAGTTCCAGAGGGTAAGGGTAGAATGGCAGAAGGCCCGCCTGCCAATAATGGGGCGAGCAAGGCAGGGACGCGAAGCAGGCTGAGCAGAGGGAGTGAGCAGGATGGTCGAGGGATAGGAGGTTGCAGAGGTAGGGGGGAGCAAAATCATGGAGGGTTTTGAAGGTGAGGACCAGGATCTTGAACTGTATCCTCTTGGTGATGGGAAGCCAGTGGAGTTGGGTGAGAATGGTGGTGATAGGGTCACAGAGCCTGGTGCAGCAGAGTTCTGGATGATCTGCCGCCTACGGAGGGAGGATTTGGGGAGGCTGACAAGCAATGATTTTGCATAATCAAGCCTTAATTTAATGAAAGCATGTATGAGGGTTTCGGCGGCCTGCGGTGTGAGACAGTGGCTGTGCCGGGCGATGTTGCAGAGGTGGGGGAAGGCAGAGTGGGTCATGGCACAGATGTGGGGTAGAAATGATAGTTGAGGGTCAAACAAGACCCCAAAGTTCCGGACTGGCTTAGTAAGGTGGAGTGTACATCCATGAATGGTGATGCTGTCAGCGCGTGAGGTGAGGAGGCGCTGATGGGAGCCAATCAGGAGAGCCTCAGTCTTGTTGATGTTCAACTGAAGAAAATTAGCTCTCATCCAGGCCTTGATATCTGACAGAGGAAGCATATAGATATTGAAGAGGATTTTGTTCCCAGATTTGACCCCACCCTCAGCTTGGATGCCCAGCCAGAATTGTCAAGCACCTTGGGGCAACCTCCCAATGCGAAAGGCACTTTATAGGTGTAAATTGTATTATATTGAGGCCTAGGCCGTGTTGTGTTGTTCACCATCAGAGCAGTCAAATCATCCTACACATCATGACACACACATGAGGCGGGGCATTTAATACAAATCAATGAAATTCTCAAGTAGGAGTATAGATTTCCCTGCCTAGACTTGTGTTCAAATTTTCATCACAGCTGATATGACAATGCATTTAATTCCCTCAGTGACTCAGTGGTTGAATAGATTACATGGGTGACTGAGCTATACAGATTCAGATAGGTCATAGGTATGACCCTTTAGTGTATGCTGAGGTTGGACAATCTTGACTAAGGCAGTAGGAGGAGCGGTACAACTGGTATCAGCATCTTGAGACAAGGGTAGGGTGATCCTACCTGAACAAGCACAGGAAGCTTGACAGGCAGTACTCTCAATGGTAAGCTATTGGGTTTTAGCTGGTTAATCCCCAACAGCACTCCAATTTGTTCTCTGGGATCTCCAAGCCTTGACTCTTGCCAACCCATCACTAATACTCTCTGGAATTAGATAAGCAGGATGTGTCCCTTCAGGAGAGAATGCACATTCCATTCCAGACATAGTGAAAGTTCTAAGTGAAGGTGGAAAACATATGAGTAACTCTCAGTCTGGATTGGATACTCTTAAATACAGTAACCGCTTTCTGCATATGTAGGATCACCAACTGACCAAAATAAAATCTTGAGACTTGCGGAGGAGAGAGAGAGGGAGAGATAGAAAATCACTTTGGCTTTGCAATCTTGTTTTCTATCCTTTTTCCCTTTAAAATCAAAACGAACATTGTTATTGTACAAAATACAAGTTAACTTTTAACTTTATATCCCTGCACAGTACTTAAACAGAAATTTACTACCAACATCTTTTAAACTCTTGCATCCAAACTCTGTTTATTTGAACAAAAGAGAAAGTCTAGGAGGAGTACCAGCTGTTCGTTGTACTCCCCTGCCCTAACACAAATAACTATACTCAGTGGCTAAATCAAGTTTGTTCAACTTTGCACTTCTGCACAAACCCATGGTTTCCGTTGTCGGCACCCAACAACGTAAACCTGCACGGATGTGCACTTTACCTTACAGGGCCTTTACGTTGAAGGCGCTGATAAGAACAAAGCAGGAGAGCCTCTGTCGTGTCAACATTCAACTGAAGAAAGTTAGTGCTCATCCAGGGCTTGATGTCTGACAGTTTGTTACAACAGCTGCGGTCCTAGAATTGAGGGTAGAGGCAGAGAAATAGAGTTGAGTTATCCACATACAGATGGAAGTAAACCCAATATCCGCAGGTGATGTTGCCAATGGGAGCATGTAGATAGCGAAGAGGAGAAGATAGATTCTTATCCTGCAATGTGGACAGCAACTGCAAGCAAGTCAGTACTATCTCCCCACCTGCCCAAATCTGACCATCTGTTCGGACAGTCTGAGAGGAGAGTCCATTTTTTCTGAGCATGAGGACTGCCCTTTTCTCTTTCAGGTTGAGTCTCAACCAAGAAAATACCCCAAATGTCTGGCAAAAAGTCTGAGAACAAAACACTGGCTGCAAAATGCCTTTTGTTGGTATTCAGGGTCACTATGTTTTTCCCGATTTTGTTTTGGGTCTAGAATTACATGACAGGCATTTAAGGAGCATTTCAGAGCTGAAAGCACGGCCACCGATGGTGCAAGGGAGGGCACGAAGGACATGCAGGAGGTCGGAGCCAGTTGAGCGGAAGCAATGGGTAAAGGGTTGGGGAGTAAACAGGTCAGAGAGGTAGGGAGATGCCAGGGAATCGACGCATTTGAAGATGAGGATCTTGAAATCGATCCATTTGGCAACAGGGAGCCAGTGGAGCCTGACTAGAACTGGAACTAGGAGTTTAGTGTGGCCTTGAACTGGTATAGCTTGATGGGTCAAAAGGACTATCTTGGTTTGTCTCACTTTGATGGATATTTTCTCTAATGCACCATTTGTGGTGCGCTCTTTAATTTGGTTCCCTTCCTTGCACCATTACACTGATGCAGTTTTCACTTTCCTTGTGAAACGTTTCAAAAATAAAGGGAGGAAAACAATCAGGTGCAAATACAAGGAGTGCTTCCGACACATTTACACTGGCTGTAGCTATTTGCTCTTGGTGTTCTGGAGAGCATGGCAGCAGCAAAATGCAAGCAGGCTACAAGCAAGCAAAACATTCACTTGAACCTTGAAAGCTTTGTTTGTGCTGCTCAAAAGTACACATCGATTGCAGTTGTGGCAAGCAGAATAGTTTGCAGAGTTACAGTCAGTTATAATTATCAGGCTCACTCAGTTATGCGTCAACAGTGCTGTGTTATTGAAGTCAATCTAAAATTCACCAGGTTCTAGAGTCTCGAAAAGCTTCCTTCATAATACTAATTAAGATCAACAAGTGGAGCACAGATGTGTTGCAATCAGAAGGTCTCTGCTTCTACTCTTGAGTAGCTCAGGGACGCTGCCCCTTGTGAAGGGTGCAATATAAACGCAAGTTAGTGTTGTTTCTGTTAAGTGGACACTGGCGTCAGATCAGGTTTGACTCCATTGCTGATGTCAGGGATAAGTGGCCAAGTAGTTTGAGACGGCAAACTTATCGCTGTAGCTGGTGGAAGTAATGGTGTGTAAATAGTGACACTTGCCCCACGAGTCTTTGTGATAGTGGTTGATGTAGGATCCAGTGAAACTTCCTGCCCTTTAGTGAAGTCAACAGGAATTTTGCCTGCCTGTGAGCCCAAACAGTTTTGTCCTTCAGTAGGATTGCTGCGATAGGCCTTGGCTACTTCCTCCAGGTCTGGTTTTGATAAGCAAATTCCAGGACTCAACATCTGTTGAGAATTCAGTGAGCTCGGCTTGGGCGAGGCCAGTTTACTTTCCCCCAAATTTCCTCTCTCTGCTTTTAGCTGCTTCAGTGTATGTGACCCACCAGTGATCAGGAATGCCGTTTCTCCTCTGGGAGCTATCTTTCCATGCCGCGGGTTTATCTCTGTCTGCACAAAGGCTCCATGACGCTGGAAAAGGGAAACAAATACAGCTTTAACAAACGGAACACAAGCATCTTGTGGATGCAGCTGTAAGGCTGAGTTCATTTATTAGCTCAAGTGCTGGCAGTCACTTGCTTCTTCCACTCCACTGGCCCCCAGGCTGTAGCCCAGTTATCTACAGGCAGCAGATAATGGATAATCTGTCAGCCCAACTTATTCATGAAATTAAAGAAACAATGGAAAGTTTGGAAAGGAGAACTTGCTCCAAAAACAAAAAAACAAAAAAAGGGAGTCTCATTTTGCAACCATTTGAAATCCTTTCAGCTATCATTCAAATACATGTGACTGGAATATTGTACTGTGTGTAAAAATCTCAAATTAGATTTCACATCTCGCAATGCGGGTTCCCCTGGATACTGTTACTGACTGCCTGTTTTTGTACTTGTAAAAGATTTATAGCTGAATCTTCAGCACCTTTTATGTTGCATGTTTCACACTGGGAGAAAGTGAAGCTCTCAGGAAATATTGCGGCAACTGGTTTCCCCAGAAATTACCATCTCAAAAAAACTCCAGTTGATCATTCAGTGGGGAAGAGTCAGCTGGAAACAGTCAGGACTTGCAGACAGCACTGCATGTCAATGTCTTTTTAAAGCTAGAATTAACACGTGCAGGACAGTGCTATGTCTGCAATTACACTAGAAGAAGGAATCAAATCAAACAATGGTGTGAACAATGAAAATAACCCTTGCATTTGATTTAGATCCTCATCAAGTTGTTGAGTGTCTAAAGCTCTTCGGAGGATCTACTGTAAATTGTAATGACTGTGCATTTTGCAGGTGAAAGTGTAGCCAATTTGTGCACTGTAATATCCCTCAAAGTGAATTATCAATTTTATATGGAGGGAACTGTCAGCCAGGACACCATGAGAAACTCTTTACTAACAGCACCATGGGGTCCTTTAGTTTCACATGAACAGACAAACTCCACCTAGCTTAACATCTTATCCAAAGGGCGGAATCTCCGGCAACGCATCACTGGCCCAACATTGAATAGGAGTATCCGCCCTAGAGTGTGAGCTCAAAGTCCTGCTGTGGAGCTTGAAGCCACAACCTTCTGACTCAGAGGATGGAGTGCGACCAACTGAGCCAGACTGACATGTGTTGTGATACTTAACCCTGCGATCCAAACCAATTAATACTGATAGACTGTGGTTAGTGTGAACTTTGGGTCTGAATTGCCACCCCCCCACCCCCACCGCCTCACCAACTCTTCAGTAGAATGGATAGGTATCAAGCCTTCAAATTCTGGATTCCTAGCTGCAGGCAGTCAATAATTGTTGACTGGGCCGTACTACAATTTTTATATAGAATTTCTCTCAGCTTCTTTCTACATGTTTCCGAGCCAAGCTTGGGGGTCAGTCAGTCAGCCTGTTCACTGCCCTCTATTAACTGTGTCTGGGAGGATCCTGGAGTGACAGGGACCCTGGCCTCACTACAGCAGATTTGAGACAAGGAGTTTCCTTGTACAGACTGGTGAATGCCTTAGCCCTCAGCAGGTGCTCCAATACACTGCACTACCACACTACAGGGATGCCCGCTTATTTAATTACCTGGCTATGCATGCCTTATCACAAAACCTGTCATTGGCTACCTCTTCTGCATATAAACTACAAGGCAAAAAGACACTAATCGGCACTGAACATCAATACAATTTAGCTTACAAGCTCCATGTGTCTGCACAGTACCTGCCATCTCATCCACTACAGCATAAATCTCAGCAACCTCAGGACAGTGGTACCAAGGTAAGGTTATCAGGCATCGCTAAATAAATTACTTTTGATGTATGCCACCAGAAATACAACAAGGGATCTGCAGTTAACTAATCCATTATTCATCCCTTTGACCCTCTGTTTTTCGCCAGGCTTCTTTTTTGTTGAAAAGCTTTGGTTTCAAGGGATGTGAACCCAGATAGACGTAAAAGAGCTAAACAATCAAGGGCAGCGACAGCAACAAATCAATACTCTTTCCACTTGCTCAAGCTAAAAATAAACTGGGCAAAATAAAAAAAAACTATTTTAGGACTGAGAACACTGCTTGATGTAGTTCACTTGAAATAAACTTCACACATATAGGAATGGAAATGAACTAAAATTCTTACATTTATTTTTTCTTTGATGCAAACAATAAATCATCTCTCCCCAATGTTTCCTTACAATATTCCTTGAATTTGATACAGTGCCTTATTATGTCATTGAGGCATCTCAACGTGCTTTGCAGGATTTACTGTGAAATGCAGTGACCCTGTATTTTACAGGTGAATGCGGCAGTCAATTTGCGCACAGCAATGTCCCATGCACAGTCATGAAGTGAGGCAAGGATACCAGGAGAAATTCCATTCTCTTTTCCAATAGTGCCGCGGAATCTTTAATAGGTACCTGAATAGGCACAGACCGGATCTCAATTTAACAACTCATCCGGAGGACAACATCTCTGATACTGTAACGCTCCCCAAGCAGTGCACTGGAGTATCAGCCTAGAGTATGAGCTCAAAGTCACAACTCAGGGCTTGAACCCACAACATTCTGACTCAGAGACGAGAGTGCAACCAAGTGAGCCAGGCTGACACCTAAACATGAAAACCTTGGTACTGCTTCAGTGAAGCCCCAATAAACATTCTCGAATTACAGTCCAGACATCGGGTGCAACAGCTATAATCCTTACCCTTCCTCTGATGGGTTCATTGGGCCACGTCCTTGCATCATACTGGTGAATGAAAGATATACGTTCCCGAAAAATATTTGGCATAGACTGTGGCTCTTCAGGATTTACCTGTGGAACTTGGGAACAGTTATAGAGAAATTAATTAAAATTTAAATTAAAGTAGAGCAAAGGCATGTAATATCTAGATAATGCCTGCTCATACAACACTTGACTGCTGTATATAGAGGTTCATTTTCTCTACGAGTTGTACACTGGCAAGGCTCTTATTATACTGTAACATAAGATCCCAACGTTCCTGTTTCTTTATTTACTGAAAGAGTATTAAAAAGAAATATTGCTTACATCGAGTCCCTTTGTTCATCCTTTTGTTACAACTACAAGCAAGGCACAGTAAATAAAAAACTTCACATCATTACAATATAAATAATGCAGCAGGGCACAATAATAATTTAATAATGATAGATTAATAATGAAATAATAGAATAAAATAATAAGAAATAATAAAAGATGAATGATAGAAGAAAGTCATGCATGGTCAGTTTCCAAATAAATGAAAATAAAAGGCCTAGATATGAACTAAAGCTACAGTTGGTCGACTAAAGAGGATTTATTTGAGAGCCAAAACAGAAGCTCTCATAATATAAGCTATTACTATCTATTACTATGAAAATAAGATTTTGAAGAAAAAACTTTGATCCAAAATGACATAACAATGTAGCTAAATTGACATACCAATGTAGCTGAATATACCCACTGGACAATTTGTAAACACGTTGATTTTGATGTAAAGACAGACTGGTATGAACATCAACCAGCAAAAGTGACAGCAAAAGGGAACATCACAATTATCTTGCACTCCCAAGTGCAAACAGATAGAGGAGTAATTTGTAACAAATCAGATATTATCATTAAAAAAAACTAGATTGTACATGCGGTATAATTGATGTGGCTATTCCAAGTGACTTCAATGAATGAAATAAGGAACTAGAGAATATCGGGAAGTATGTTGACCTACAAATTGGATGTGGATGCATGTAGCAGTACAAGACAATTCAGGAATGGTTTGACAAGATACAAAATGTCCGCCTCCTCAGAAAGTAGTTTTGGGAACTTCAAATACACTAAAGAAAAAGTAACATCCATTGAAGTGTAACATGGCAATGTTATCGGTCTGACTGACCCATCACTGAAAACAACTTAGAATCTCCAGAGTGATCTAAACTGCAATAAGATACTGCTAATCTTGCTTTTTAATATAACACCTTTCATTTTGGGAAGATGTCTCAAAGCACGTTACAGGATAAATTCACTGATATACTTATAATTTCCTCCTATGCTTTTAACTACCTTCCTCTTTATATTTTCTAACATAAAAAATATTGTGGACTGCTTTAATTTGCCTGTGGGAAATCAATCAGACAATCCTAGAGATCCATATTTTGCTTTGTAAACCCTTCTTCCAAACCCTTGCTGGGCTATTTTTTTAAAAAACACACTGTAATGCATCTGTTATCTTGTAGAACCATGGAAATTTACAGCACGGAAGTAAGCCATTTGGGGGATATGATGGAGGCAGTTCAGCTAGAGGTAAACGGATTTTCACACAAGCAGTCTTGAGTATTACTTCAAACTATCAAAAGGAACATTTGGTTCAATTAAAACCCTTTAACTTCTTTTATTATTGTAACCTGACTGAGATTCACAATGTATCTGTTCACATAAAACTCCGCATTTCCTTTGTACTGCCATGTGTGGCCAAGCCTTCAGCCAACGTACCACCATCCTGAAGAACTCTATCTTTAATATCCACCTGAACAATTCTATATTTCCTTTAAACACCCCTGTTGATTCCACCTCTACAGCTTTTGGAGGCTGATTCCACGTCTTCACAACCCTCTGAAGGAATGCTTCCTGACCTCGATTCTTGTCTTGCAGTGCACCCTGTGATACAACAGGCAAGGGAGGAAACAAGAGGAAGCTGTCACTGTGCTATAGAGAACAATAGTGGAACAGATGACTGAATTTCACAGGCAATGTGTAGAAATGAGACAAGACAATGCGGAGCTGCTCTTCCATGTTTACTCTTTTCACTTGTTTGAGTGAACAACATAATTGGAAAACAAATTGCTTTCCAATTTGTTAAATACATGGATACTAATAATTAAAGGGCCAGAATGTGAAAGCATCACACCAGAAATGCCTTTGGAGGCTATTTGCAGAGCATGCACTGTTAGAAGTTCACATTTAATCTTGCAATCATTCAACTGAATGTATTGAATCTTATTCTGCACTGACATTAGATACTCCGCATTATATCTAAGAATGATTTAAGACATTTTCTTGCGAAGCACAAATCGCAAACTAAATGGAATGCCAAACAAATGGAATCTGCTAAACCGTGCCCTCAATTTACTTCTTACTAAACTGTTGGTAAAAATAATTATATAGATCTTTCATTGGTGCATTTTGTTTGTAAAGATTACTTGGACTCATCCACGTGATTATGGTCAAAAACAGTGCCTGGTGACTAGTTTAACCTTTGCAATCAGTTCCATCAAGTGGATCAGGAAACAACATTTAACAGCATGAGGTTAAGAAATATATTTGGGGGATATGATGGAGGCAGTTTAGCTAGAGGTAAACGGATTTTCACACAAGCAGTCTTGAGTATTACTTCAAACTATCAAAAGGAACATTTGGTTCAATTAAAACCCTTTAACTTATTTTATTATTGTAATCTGACTGAGATTCACAATGTATCTATTCACATAAAACTCCGCATTTCCTTTGTACTGCCATGTGTGGCCAAGCCTTCAGCCAACGTACCACCATCCTGAAGAACTCTCCTCCAAAATCATTTCACCTACTATCTATCCATAGCTTCGAAAACATCCTAAAACATATCGCTTTGGCTGTTCCCTTGGGCAACATCTTCAAATCTCTTATTTCCCTGCTCAGTGTATTTATCAAGTGTTTCATGTGAAATGTCATTTATAACAAGTTGTTGCTGATAGTTAATGTATTAAAAAATGAATTAGGCTGAATGATGATTAGATATTTATTTTGATCATTAGTCATTTCAAACCATTTCAAACATCAAATGTATTAACCATTGTTTCATGTGGATTACGTGTCAATATCTTCATGATTATAAATAGTGCAGAAAATGTGCATGTATTACTTTTAGAATCCCATCTGCCTTGCCCCGTCTCTACTTGAGTTTAAATCCCGCCTTAAAACCTACCACTTCAATGCCCCTTTGGTCACCTGCATCTTCTTCTCTCTCCCTTGAATGGTGTCTGACTTTATCTTTGTAAAACATGACAAGGCATTACCCGACATGAAGGGTGTTGTTGCTGTAAAGTAGAGACTTTCAAGTTATCAGTTGGCTATTCCAATATGGACAGATTGTTCCTATTCTAAATCCACAATGATCAACAACAACAACTTGGATTTATATAGCGCCCTCCACGCCGGACGGAGTCTCAGAGCGCTTTACAGTTTCGGATCCCAGGACCGAGCCGGGGGGGGGGGGGGGGGGGAAGGTGACCAAAGGCGCGGTCGAAAAGAAAGGTCTCTTCAGCAGAGACCTGAAAATGGGAAGGGTGTGAGGAAAGCAGTTCCAGAGCCTCTGTGGGATAGGCAACCAGTGCAGTCTGGCAAGGACTGGGGTGATCGGGGAGCGGAGTTTTGTGCGGGTGAGAATGTGGGCGGCAGAGTTCTGAATGAGTTGGATTTTATGGATGGTAGTGGATGGGAGACTGGTGAGGAAGGGGTTGGAGTAGTCCAGCCGAGAGGTGACAAAGGCATGGACCAGAGTTTCAGCAGCTTTTGGGGAGAGGTATTAGCGGAGACGGGCGATGCGACGGAGGTGGAAGAAGGTGGTGCTGGTAATGGACCAGATGTAGGAGAGGAAGGATAATTGGGGGTCGCACCTGACGCCTAGGTTGCGTATGGGATAGGAGAGATTTAGGGGGAGGTCGGTTAGGTGGAGGAGGTGAGAACCATGAGATTTTAGATGTTGACGAGAGCTGAAGAGTATGTCAACGTTCACCTGAAGGAAGTTTGCGCTCATCCAGCCCCTGAGATCTGACAGGCAGGTTGACAGAACATCAGGGGACTGAAGGTCGCAAAGAGAGGTGGAAAAGTAGAGCTGGGTGTCATCTGCATACATGTGGAAATGTACCCCATGTCTGCGGATGACATCTCCAAGAGGGAGCATATAGATCAGAAAGAGGAGGGGGCCAAGGATGGATCCTTGGGGTACCCCGCAGGTGACCGGGTGAGAGTGGGAGAAGAAGCCGTTTATGCAGATGGCAGTTTATGAGGTAGGACTCAAACCAAGCAAGTGCGGTCCCACTGAGGTGGATGGCGGAGGAAAGGCGGTGGAGGAGGATGGCGTGATCGACTGTGTCGAACGTGGCGGAGAGGTCCAAGAGGACAAGGAGGCAGAGGGAGCCCTGGTCACAGATGGAGAGGATGTCATTTGACTTTCACAAGCGCAGTCTCTGTACTGCGGGCAGGGTGGAAACAGGACTGGAAGAAGGAGTGGGAGGAGAGGTGTGCGTGGAGTTGGTTGGCCACAACCTGTTCCAGAGCTTTTGAGAGGAAGGGCAGGTTAGAAATAGGGTGGTAATGGCTGGGGTTTGAGGGATCTAGGGAGGGTTTTATCAGGAGGGGGTGATGACAGCAGTTTTGAGGGAGGCAGGGACTGATCCGGAGGAGAGGGACTGGTTGATGATGTCAGCCAGTAGTGGGCATAGGAGGGGGAGCTGTGTGACCAGTAAGTTGGTGAGGAGGGGGTCGAGGCAACAGGTGGTGGGTTTCATGGAGGTGATGGTGGGTGAGAGGGAGGAGGGAGAGATGGGGAGGAAAGAGTGTAGAAAGGGGGTGGTGGTAGGAGCAGATGATGAGGAAGGTGAGGGAGGCAGAGAGGGTGTGGTGGTGGGTGACAAGGGGTAGGTGGATGAGGCTGCCTGGCGGATGTTGAGTATTTTAGCAGAAAAGAATTCCATGACCTCCTCGCACTTGGCATTTGATGTGAAGATTGAGGAGGCCTGAGGGAGGCAAGGAGGAGGTAGTGGGTGGTGGAATAAAGGATTTTGGGATTGTTTTT